GGAATGGATTTTCTTTGTTATGTTAACGAGACAGTATTAATGTAGGGTATGTTTTCAGTCAATCTCTTTTGAGATAAAAAGAGATTTAACAAGCAATTGAGCAAGCGGAGATGGGGAAAGATAGATGCCATTCCACATGAAGATCACCAACGAGCCAAGGAAAAATGACCTTCCCCTAGAGCCAGCCCGGGCCCTGAATTCAGACTTCTAGCCTCCTAAACTGTGAGAAAATAAATTTGTTAAAGCCACCCACCTGTGGTATTTGTTATAGTAGTACCAAATAACTAACACAAACTGTATAACAGATAACTTGATAACTATTCTATAGATGAAGTAATTTTTATGACCAGGTATTATCCTCTTTCTTCTCTCTCATAATTTTATAAGCCAATCTGTTTCAGTACTTATATACATTGAAGAATGGAAGCTCATCTTCTTCAAATTAGATCTATTATCCACCAAGGTGCTCATTTTTACAAGGAAAAAAATTTTGGAAATTTATCAAAAAGAAAAGCAGGATCTCATTTTTTTATTTTCAGAACATATAAACATTTACTGCGAACTCTCACTGAAGTGTTAAGCTTCCCTTCTGAAAAGTAACTACTTGTAAACAGATTTTGTGTGATCTGTCAGCACCATCTCTTCTGCTTGGGTGAACATATTTCTAAAGCTATTTTTATGTATGGCAGTGTACATGATATGCAGTCATAGATACTCTAATAATATCAACAGAGGAACACAAGAAGTCTAGCAAGGAATTATAAGTCATTTTGCCAAAATTAATCATAAAGAGAAGTTAAGAGAAGAAAATTAGTCAGTGGAGAAGTCTAATCTCTATTATTCACTCAAAAACCTAATAAAGCTGCATCTTATACCCAGCAGTCACTTCAAGCTGCCAAAACGGAATTAAAAGTACCAGGTCAGCCCTCTGTTCCCTCCCTTTCCATTCTCAAGCTTTCCTTCCTTTTACAAACATTTACCAAGCACCTACTATGCTATCACGTGACAGGCACTAGGTACTAAGGAAACAAAGATGAATAGGACACAATCCTACTAACAAGGAATTAACAGTCCAACAGGGGAAAGCAGATTTACAAAAAGTAATTATATATACCAATGCTCACTGTAGCATTATTCACTGTAGCCAAAAGGTGGAAACAAACCAAGAGTCCATCAACATATGAACAGATAAACAAAATGTGGTATGTACATATACACACATAAAAAGGAATGAAGATGATTATCATTCAACCATAAAAAGGAACAAAGTTCTAATACATGCTACAACATGGAAGAACCCTGAAAACATTATACTAAGTGAAACAGTGAGACACAAAAGGACGCGTATTATATGATTCCACTTATATGAAATATCTAGAATATGCAAATTGATAGAGACAGAGAGTAGATTAAAGGTTACCACGGGGTAAGGGTAGGAGAGAATGAGGAGTTCCTGCTTAATGGGTAAATGGTTTTTGTTTGGGGTGATGAAAAATTTTGGAAATAGTGATGACAGTTACAATACTGTGAGTGTAATTAATGCCACTGAATTGTAGACTTAAAATGGTTAAAATAGAAAATTTTATACTATATATATGTTTACCACAATTAAAAAAACACACAATATACAAAACAACATACATACTTAAAGAATATATTAATATCCAAGGATCTATATTAAACACAACAGAGTAGTTGCAAATGAATAGGATTGAGGATAAAGAGAAAAAAAAATCAATCTAGAGGAGCTTTGCACAGATCAGTTTGCCATATACTGAGCATTATTATTAATTTAACCCTCTGTACCTGAGGCCCACAGGGAGAAAGGAAAAAAAGGCAATCAGTTTTGTCTATCCATACTAAATATAAACCTCTTAAATACACATATGCAGTACTAAAAGGTAATACTCTCTAGCCTTGGATGATTTAACACACTCCACCCTCAGTCCTCATTTATTCCCTACCCTAACTATTTAATTAGAGTTGGTATATAACTATAGTTTTTGGGGTATAGCGAGCCCTGGTGGCGCAGTGGTTAAGAGCTCAGCTGCTAACCAATATGTTAGAAGTTCAAATCCACCAATCACTCCTTGGAAACCCTATAGGGTAGTTCTACTGTGTTCTACAGGGTTGCTATGAGTTAGAATCGACCCACTGGCAATGCGTAGTAGTAGTAGAGAGATATCTAGCCATAAATAACTTTTAATTTAATCACTTTCAACTTTTCTTTTTTCCATATAAAGTCAGCCCCAGATTATGACATATACACAGCTGTCAGGTGGAAAAAGAATACCTAGAAAAACCATTTATCTTTTAGACAGAAGCCCAACATTCTTTACTAGGTAGGTAGATATTATTTCCTCTCAGAATATAAACATACAGCTTTACACAATTGTCGCTGTTATTTATGACTAAAAAAATGTACACAGACTGTCAAAAGAAGTTTACTTTGTAAACCTATTATTAAAGGAAATACTTTTTTTTTTTAGTTTTGTAAACGCCAATGGAATAGAATGATGTTCAATATCTGAATCATTATACTCAAGCATTTGATCACTGGTGAAGCTGAGAAATCCTAGAAATATGTTTCTCCCCTATTGTTTCATTATCTCCATACCTAACTATATGAACAGCAGTTACAGCAGAGTCTCAAGAAGCAATCACAATACTTGATACTTTCTCGCTAAGTTAAAAAACATTAGCATATTACTAATATTTTATTATTTTACTGATAATAATTTTATTAATTCTACATATTACTTTGCAGAATTACTTCAGAAAGAGTTAAGATTACTCAAAATTTTGAATATGATCAATTCCTGAACTAGGAATATTCTATGTGACTTTTATAGCAAGTCTTTTTCTACTATGTTTATACAGGTGTTGATTCATAAAAATATAAACGATGGTGGTCTACATCTAGCTCTTATGAAATATTCACTTAGAGTCTACTGGAGATAATAACTTACATACTTTTCCATCAGACATTGCCTTCATCAAAATGTTTTTTCTATCTGCTGCAAATTGCTAATAATTGAGCTGACAATAATTTAAGATGTATTTCTAGGACCAAGTTGTCAATCTGGATCTTTTGTTAAAAAAAAAAAAAAAGTATTTAGAAAATTCACAAGTGAAAACTGAAATGGCAAATTTCTTTGCTTGGATACTCCTAACTTACAAGCATTACCTTAAGAGCATAGGCTCTTCAGGTTCTGTGAACTGACAGGAATTAACCTGAAATGAACATTAGATATGAATAAGGGAGGTTGTGACTCATCCTCTTTTTATTTATGCCCAATTGCTGGGTTTATATTAACTTTACCAAAGAATCTGATCTTTGTCCTTGTTTCCAGAGAGATAAGCTCTAAAACTCTGGAATTTTCCCAGTAATCATAAGTATCTTAGAGGGCTCCAGACCACATCTAGCCAACAGGTTATGCTGGTGAGGTGACTCTCCGTAGGGCTGGCCAGGCCAGAGGGATCCACCTCATGATACCACCTCATAACAGCCATGATGACATGGCAAAAATCCTCAATAAAAGCCATGCAAACTGAATCTCCATAGCCTTCCTGGCTGGTGAAAGACATCTGTTCTTGGGAGGATGGTGTGTCCTCTTTGGGACATGGAAGCTCTGCATTAGGAACCCTTTCAGACCTTGCCCTATGCATCTCTTCTTTGTGCTGATCCTGATTAGTAACCTTTATAATAAAGCTGTAATTGTAAGTATAGCACATTCTGTGAGTTCTGTGAATTGTTCTAGGGAATTATTGAACCTGAGACAGTAGTGGGAGTCAGCAGGTCAGAAGTGACGGGGCTAGGGACTTGAGCTTGTGGCTGGAGCTGAAGGGGTAGTGGCTGTTGTCAGCTGCTCTCGAGTCAACCCCTGACTTATGGTGACCCCACGTACAACAGAACGAAATGCTGCCTGGTCCTGTGCTATCCTCATGATCAGTTGAGGATCAGATCAGGCTGTTGTGATCTACAGGGTTTTCACTGGCTGATTTTTGGGAGGAGATCACCAGGACTTTCTTCCTCATCCATCTTAGTCTGGAAGCTCCAATGAAACCTGTCCAGCATCATAACAACACGCAAGCCTCCAATGATAGATGGGTGGTGGCTGCATATGAGGTGTACAGGCTGGGAATAAAACCTGGGTTTCCCACATGGAAGGTGAGAATTCTACCACTGAATCACCAATGTCCCTCAAAGGGATAGTGGGAAAACCCTGAATTTGTAGCCAGCAGGTCAGAAGTGAGGGGAGCCTTGGGGACGCCCAAGCTTGTGGCTGGCATTATTAGGTCTTGGGCAGACTCGGCAACTTGGCAGTATGGAGAGCTGTGTCCTTTAACATGCAAGCTCTGACCTCGCTCTGTGTGGTCAGAGTCAGAGGAAGAAATGCTGCACGTGCAGCTGGTGTCAGAAAAGAAGTGGCAGAGAAGTAAAAAGTGGAATTTGATTTTTTTATGTACCAACCTTGCCATAAAAAAGTGTAAGTCTAAGGTTCCTGAATCAAAGCAAAGAAATAGCATTTTTCTATTTGTAGAAAGCTTAAAAAAGAGATGTCACATTCACCAAAAAAAAAAAAAAAAAGAGTCTGATGGGGTACCCAAAGCTCATTAAAAGGACTGATATGGTTTGGGCAAATGGACCCCAAAACAACTCAAGTTATATAGCTCTTTAGTCATGTTTCCTCTTACTGGCTATACAAAACTCTCTACTATACCAGTAAGGAACAAGTTTTCCCTGAACCACTTCTGTGGTACATAGACGATGTATATGAACTTAGAGGAAGAAGCAGACATAATTTTTTCTATCTACCAGTTTTATCAGGAATATCTTTAAACGACTGGTTAAACAGGGAGGGATATACCTTTCATTTTGTTTACCTTTATTTTCTCTCCAAGCATCGTTAAAAAGACAAATTTTGGATATACATTTCAACAACTCAAAAGCAGGATTTTTGGAAACCTTAAGCTTGTGTAATATAAAACCAATTTACCGATTATGCCGCTGTCTCTGCTTTCAAGGGTAGAGGTTGGACTGGTGACAGCCCCGTAGCTGCAATCCTTGGCAGTTGCATTTGTATTGACTGGCGGGAGGGTGGAACAGGGGCTGCTGGCTGGTGGAGAGGCAGTGCTGCTAGTCAGGGTGGAACAGGGACTTATCCGCTGGGTGATTGCTGAAGTCTGAAAAAATTGGAATCAAGAATAAATAAGATAAATGGATCAGCTGTTAAAGTAAAGGCTATCAGTAAATACTAAAGAATCGTATGTTAAAATATATACCTTAATGGGAAAAAAGAAATAATCTAAATGCATAGCTTTTACATCTATTAGGCTCTATGTATTTTTGCTTTCTAGGGTATGTTCCTCTGGGTTCTACATTTAGGGTAAAAGTTAATGAATTTAACATGAGTAGAGACTGTGACCAGTTTTTCTGCCTAGGAAATTTTCAGTAATTTGCGCTCGTCATCATTTCCATGAACTAATGAGATAGAAGAATTTTTTATTAAGCACAAGTTTTCCTTGCTATTCCTAATCAAGAAGGCTTGGAACTTTGTCTTGTCAATACTTTTGTTTGGGTGAAAAAAAAAATACACACACACATACATATCTGTAGCCCAGGAGAAAAAAAAATAAAGTTCTTAATGCAAAAAAGTATCTCTTTGATAAAGAGGGAGTTGCCCAGAGACAAATGAATGCAGAGGAAAATGCCTTATTTTAAAAGTTTGTTTAATAAAGTAAGCCAACAATACTAATTTAATACAAAACTAAATAATTTCTCTGTATCCTGAATAATTCTTACATACAAAGTTACATCCTTTCCAAGTTTTTGATGGAGAGGAATGAATAATCACCAAAAAAGGTGGTGGTAATATATTCTGGTTTACCTAATTTAATGACAATTAACTTTTCTTTAGCTCTTTCTACCCAAATAAATAACTGAAATAATGACTAAAAGGATATTTTTTCAAACATTAAAGAAAAGTTATCCTTTTCAAAATTTTAAGTGATCAGTTATAAAATTACTTAAAGGGAGTACTAATGATAAATTTAACATCTTTAGCTGCCTCTCGACTTCTTTTCATAAAGTTTATATTCATATTACCTCTGCTAAAATTGAGGATTTACATTTAATAACTTGACTAGAGAATGTCTTGATCACTAGATATGAGGATACTAAGGCTCTTTCACTCATCCTAAAATGATTTTCAGATGCGATCCCTTGTATTTAATCACCTGTGCTGGATCCAGGTTTTGATTTCAGTTTAAATGCCACAAGCAGGCCATGAAAGATAAATTCCATTCAACCAAGAACAAGTGACAGTCTCAGAACCCTGAAACCAAGTAAATCTTTTCAATCATATCAGTAATATTAGGGAAATGGACTTTTCTTAATAATACGATAAACCCTCAAATGCAAATTTCTATTCTATTATATAACTTCTCTCCACAAGAAAGAGGTTTCAATGTCTTTGTAACTGCCTCTGTTTTTATAAAATGTTGGTCTACCAGAGCAATGACTCTTAACTGGAGTTAAGAATGCAAAAAACAAAAACAAGCTCCCACTCTCTGTCCTCCAAACTGACAGTAAGTCTTACCCCAGACTTACTAACTAGAATCCTTCAGGTTAGAAATTTGGCATGGTAATTTTTAAACCCCTCATAGATTCTAATGTGCACCCCCAGTTAAAAAACAGTGGGTAGATGAAATAAATGAACAGTGCTCAGGTCTTTTACATTAGATATATCTACAGTTATCCCATGTTAAAAAAGTTTTATTTCGGTACAAATCTATTACTCTTAAAGCAATTCATTTCTGTTCTTAGACAAGCTGCTCAGTCTGATCTCTGAGAAAGGACACTATCATATGTGCAATACAGCCAATGTGGAGGTTAAGCCCAAACAACACTTGCTATTTATATTACAAATTATTTTCTGCAAAATAAAACATATATCACAGAATGCATGCTTTAAAAGTTTTAATTATAAAAGCAAAGCTTAAAGACCAACATGCTTAGCAGAAAATTGTTCATGGCTTGTGAATTAAAAGGCAGGCCTTGTATTTATTTAAGGAGGCTAATTAATGAGATATAGAAATCTCTTCTACAAACAGAAAGACAGTACTATCTATTCTCCATGATGTAGACTAAAATGGAAATCTAATTAAATCACTCCACTTCCAAAACCTTTCAGTGGTTTTCCCATTTTCCTTAGTATTCTCCAGAAGGATCCTAAATTCCCAACCTAGATCTCTTAGAGGTTCTATAAATACACAAGGTAAGAACCTTTGCTATATTAATCGATGTAATATTATTTTCCAATGATGGAAATCACAAGATACATCTTTAAATACCACAGAAACTAATGAGAGAAGAAAATAAAGTGGTCAACTGGATATCACTTACAATGATACTTTGCCTTTTGTAGAAAAACGATACATTCTGACTTGCCTGTGTTGGATCCTATCATCACTAGTACTATTCTGAAGTCATCATCACTATAGGATCTTCCAAAACATACCCATCTTTCTTTGTTAGTATGCTGTTTAGCTAGATGAAGGTCACTTGTGTGGTTCCAAGACAGTTTCCAGGGCATATTATATCTCAAAAAGGCTATCTGTTGCTGTTGTTAGGTGCCATCGAGTTGATTCCAACTCATAGAGACCCTATGTACAACAGAACAAAACACTGCCCAGTTCTGCACCATTCTCACAATTGTTTCTGTGTTTGAGCCCATTGTTGCAGTCACTGTGTTAATCCACCTCGTTGAGGGTCTTCCTCTTTTTTCACTGACCCTCTGCTTTACCAAGCACGATGTCCTTCTCCAGGGACTGATCTCTCCTGATAACATGTCCAAAGTATGTGAGATGAAGTCTCACCATCCTTGCTTCTAATCAGCATTCTGGCTGTACCTCTTCCAGGACAGATTTGTTCGTTCTTCTGGCAGTCCATGGTATATTCAATATTCTTCACCAACACCATAATTCAAAGGCATCAATTCTTCTCTGGTTTTTCTTATTCATTGTCCAACTTTCATATGCATATGAGGCGACTGAAAACACCATGGCTTGGGTCAGGCGCACCTTAGTCCTTAAAGTAACATCTTTGCTTTTTAACACTTTAAACAGATCTTTTGCAGCAGATTTGCCCAATGCAATACATCGTTCGATTTCTTGACCGCTGCTTCTATGGGTGTTGATTGTGGGTCCAAGTAATGTGAAATCCTTGACAATTTCAATCTTTTCTCCGTTTATCATGATGTTGCTTATTGGTCCACTTGTGGGGATTTTTATTTTCTTTATGTTGAGGTGTAATCCATACTGAAGGTTGTGCTTTGATCTTCATCAATAAGTGCTTCAAGTCCCCTTCACTATTAGCAAGCAAGGTTGTGTCATCTGCATATTGCAGGTTGTTAGTAAGCCTTCCTCCAATTCTGATGCCACATTCTTCTTCATATAGTCTAGCTTCTTGGATTATCTGCTCAGCATACAGACTGAATAAGTATTGTGAAAGGATACAACCCTGACGCACACCTTTCCTGACTTTAAACCACACAGTATCCCCTTGTTCTATTTGAATGACTGCCTCTTGGTCTAAGTACAGGTTCCTCATGAGCACAATTAAGTGTTCTGGAATTCCCATTCTTTGCAATGTTATCCATAATTTGTTATGATCCACACAGTCGAGTGCCTTTGCTGTAACTGCTTTTGAATGATCTTCAGCAAAATTTTACTTGTGTGTGATATTAATGATGTTCGATAATTTCTGCATTCTGTTGGATTGCCTATTATTTAGGTTCTATTATCAACATCTTACACTTGTATAGTGCTTTACAGTTTAAAAATATTTTTATACATATTATTTCATTTACTGTTTATCAACCTGGTAAGAAAACTATCATTTCCCCATTTAAGAAATATAAAAATAAATCACCAAAAGTTAGTAATTTCTTCCAAATCATAAAGTTCTTGCTTGTATGTATATCCTATTTATACTGCATTTTATATTATACATTTTATTTATATGGCATATTATAGCTTACAAAGTATCTTCACATTCACTATTTACTTTGATTCCCACAAAAATCCTGTCAGGTGTTATAGTGGAACAGTATGGTGTAGCTGTTAAGAACACGGGTTGTGAAAGTGGATTGCCTGGATTTGAATACTATTCCAACACTTTCTGATAATATGTTTCCATTTTCTTATCTGAAAATTGAAGTAGGGAACAAATCCTATCCCACTGAGTTGCAAGGAAACTTCAAATAATGCAAGTAAAGCAATTAGTACAACAACTGGCACATAGTCAGCATTTAATAAATGTCAGTTATTATCACCAACAGAAAATCTAAGGCTCAGAGAAGTTAAGTGACATGTCCAAATTTACAAAATGGTAGGTAGAAGACCTGGAACTAGATCACAAGTTTTCTACCTCCTCCTTCAGAGGTTTTTGTATTATACTGTATTGCTTTAATTACATTAAGTCAATGACACTACTCATTTACTTGTTTCAGGACTATTTTATTTTGTAAACGTTTAAGTAAAGCATACCCCATAGATTTCTGCCTTTATTTAGAAATCACTGTGACATGCTGTGTGATGTGAAGTATCTCAGAAGCAACCAAGTTTAAATTTTAGTACCCAAAGAAATGTAGTTTTATAGAAACAAGGTCCTTGGCAAATACCCAGACTATAAGATATATCATATTACTTGCTTGTTATTAGAACAGTCACATTTTAAGTTGACATGAATGCCAACAAATAAAAAGTAAAATAGATGCTTTATTTCTACCAATGTAAAAAAGCCTTCAACATACATAATTCCCATTTTCATTCACAGAGCACAACACACTAACATGGTTATAACATAGATGGATTTAAAAAAAAAAAATCAATCCCTGCCATCATGAAGCTTACATTCTTGTAGGAGAAACTGACAACCAAAAAATAAACAACTAAAGATGTAATGTTATAATCAGTTAATGATAAGATCAAGGAAGAAAAATAAAGTAGAAAGATAAGAGGATATAGTGATGGACAGGTACTATTACATGAGGTAATTAAGGAAGACTGCTGGGAGGAGGTAACATTTGAGCAGAGCCCTGAATGAAGTGATGAAGTGAGTTACGTGGGAAGAGCATTCCAGTACAAACAAATACATTTAAGGAGTGGCAGGGAGGCCAGTGTGGCTGGAGAACAGTGAGTGAAAGGGAGAGTTGCAGGAAATTTGGTAAAAGACGTAGCAGGGGGCCAGATTAGGTCGGGCCTTGATGGCCATGGTGAAGATTTTAGATTTTATTCTAAGTGTGATGGAAAAGCCAATGGAAGATTGACAGAAGAGTAGTGACATGACCAAATTCACATTTTATAAAGGTCACTCTGGCTACTGTGTGGAGAACAGGACTATAGGGGGACAGGAGTGGGAAAAGAGACCAATTAGGAGGTCATTTATTCGTACAGTAAATACGTATTGAACAACTACTAATGGTAGATACTGCTCTAGGTGCAGAGAATATAGCACTATAAAGAACAGGAAAAGTTCCAGGCCTTCTGGCCTTACATTACAGTGGCTATTGCAGCGCCCAGGCAAGAGACGACAGTGGCTTGGACTTAGGTGGTAGCAGTTGAAGTAATGAGAAGGAATCAAAGTTAATACATATTTTCAAGGCAGAATCTGCATGGTTTGCTGAAGACTGAATGTGGGAGATGACAGAGGTCAAGAATGGCTCCAATGTTTCTGTCCTAAGCAAGTAGTTGATATAGATGAGAAACAATGCAGAAGGAGCAAGTTCTGGGAAAAACACAAGGGCTTGTTTTTGATACGTTAAGTTTAAGATGCACCTTAGACATGCGGGTAGAAAATGTAGTGTAGGCAACTGGATACACAGATCTTGAGTTAGGGGGAAAAAGCAGGACTGGTGATATAAATTCAGGAGGTCTCACAGTATTTAAAGAAATAAGAATGGAGAAGAACCAATAAGATTAGGTTCTCCACGCATCTGAATTTTATAAAAACTCCCCAGGTGATTCTATTCTGCAGTCGGCAAAATCAAGCACCTAAGGAGTGAGGGTAGAAAAAATAGAGAGGTCTGAAGACTGAGTACCGGTACACCTGAATGTTATCTATATGATATACAAATAATTCAAATCATCCTCATATACCTAATTATTTTATGACAAAATGTATCTGATGTAGAATCTATACCAATAATATTTATTAATAATTAAGAATATGTAAATTGAAATTAATTTTTGTTATCTTCTAAGTGAAATGTTTCATTCCAAGGCATTTATTTTAAAAATTAAGACCATGTCAATGAATCTGATTCTAATACTTCTTTTGCTACCTTTAAATGGAAAGGAATAAAATTGCCCAAAAGAAAGAAAACTATTAAAACATTTTTTCAAACTGCTGACATGTTTTAACTTTCTGACAATAGATACTTAGATCATTAATTTTTCAAATTTTCTACTTTTCTAATATATACATTCAACACTACAATTTATTTTTAAGCACAGCTTTAGCTATAGCCTGTAAGTTTTGTTATACTCTGTTTTCATTATTTCTGTTTAAAATATTTTTAATTTCTTGTTATTTCATCTTCAACTCAAAGGCTACTTAGAAGTATATTATTTAATACCCGAACATCTGGAGATTTTCTAAGTTAACATTTGCTATTGATTAATTTCACCATGGTCACAGTAATTTCAGTCTTTTGACATTTGTTGAGGCTTACTCTACACGGCTAAGCATATCATTAAGGGAGTAAATAATCCATGTGTACTTGGAAAGAATGTGTATTCCACAATTTCTGGGTACAGTGCTCACATATGTCAAGTTTGTTGTTGGCTTGCTCAGTAATTCATTCTTTCATTCATTCATCCATTCAGTAAATGAATCAAACATAAGAATGAAACTAAAAGATGTTTCATACATAACCTGAAGAAATATAGTAATTACGGAAAATTAAGTTATATCTCCAGGCCTCAAAAGGCATTCAAAAATTGGAATTATTCTTCTCAGAAAACAAATACACACAGAGTAACATTTTTGCATTCCTGGTAATAATAGGCTGATTCATATCATGTTTCACAAAGTTGATGGCAAGCAGCTTACTTGATTTTCATCCTGCACTTCCATGCTGTACTGGTCACCTGGCTGAACTTCCGCGACTTTCTCTCCAAGGAGGAAACCCAGACGAGTCATGAGTGTGTTTGCTGCCTCATCTACAGATGGAGGGGGACCAAGCTCTTGTTCAGCATCACCTATAACAAGACGACATTGGAAAACATCACGACTCCTTCCAAAGGCCTGGTTCTGCAACTACTTCTACATTCAATTCAGTCATTTCCTTAGTTTTCACATCCTAAATCCAAAATTACAAAGTCTCTGTCTAGAAGCTAATTTTCTGACTTTCATAGATTAAAACTGATAAACAATCTACTCAGATTATCCTCAATGTATCTACTTGAAACATCTGAGGTTGAAGGAATGTGTTTGTAATTTGCTGAATAGAAAATGCTTCCCATTTCCTGGGCAGTTAGAATTCCAATATAATCCTAGTCTTGGGATCTAGTTTCCAGTCACCACTTCATTCAGGTTATTTTATCCTTTCTGCTTATTCTTTCTCTTTTTCTTTTTTACAGATGGGTGTTTTTGATCATTTTAGTGGGTTTTTTCCCCCCTTGTTTGGATATCTGAGAAGAAATGACTGAGGGATAATTGTTATCCAAAAGCATTAGAAAAATGCTGTGATGACTCAGCTATCATTTAATTCTTTCTTCACTCCAGGTGAAACAGCATATCATCAGGGTCATTATTTTTTAAAAAAGAAAAAGTTACTTGGTTAGGGGCCAGATAAAGCATTTGTTGTACTAGAGAGCTCATTGTATAGAATAAATTTTAACTGAGAAAAGAAAACATCATTGCTTTGGTAAGGTACCAGAAAATAGCATCCTTATATTATGCCCTTGACTATAATGGAAATTTTACTTGTAAAACTGAAATGAATTCTAGCCAATGCTTTCACTTTAAGACTTAAAAGAAAAATTTATATAAAACATATAATGCTTTTAGATTTTAAGGGTAGCCTTCCTCTTCTATAGTACCAAGGATGATTTACATGCATTAATAGAAGAGTAAGTCTTTAATGTATGTACTGGCTATCTTTTGAAATAATATAAAAATGTATTATATGCTTTTGATACTCAATGCACTCAATGTTTTAATAAAACATTAACTATTAGATAAGAACATTCCTTTTAAAACTGGTTTGCAACAGAGCCAAGTAATAGAAAGCCAGACTGTATTAAGCGTGTGTCTCATGATCCTCTTCAAACATTAAAAGAAATTCTCTAATCGTTCTGCATGATGACTCCCGCTCCCTGTCTAAAAATTTTTTTTTCCTGGCAGCAATATAAACATCAACTTCACCCATTCACAATTACAGTTTCAGTATTATGGCTACTGTAGAAGGTAAGATAAAAGTAGAAAATGTAATGTTTAATTTACCTCTATAATCTATGAAATACACGTGGAATTTATAGCTGGGTGAAATACCCATTTTCCCCCCAAATCTAATGGAAACAGGCTAAATAACGCCAGATGGACATCAGAATCAGAAAGTCAAGTTTTCAACAATTCAGTAGTACCACATGGGTAGTACCACAACCACAATAGGGAAAAACTTGTCAAAATATTGATGCAAAATACTAATTCCTTTGAGATTTAGTTTCCAAGTCCAATTAGGAGACAACTTACTCAAAGAGATGGACCATGAACCAACTCTAAAAGCCCGTTTGAAAAGGAAACGTCTTTATATTTCAGGTAATCAACTGGCTAATACCATTTTAATTTAATATATTGCTCCCAGAATTTAAGGGGAGCATGTCTCCAAATGGGCAGTGTTCTAAAACTGTTTTAGAGGGCAGTCTGCTCCCATCTAGCTTTACTGTTGGCACAGAATGGAAAAATAAAGATACTCCATTTACATACTTTAGGATGTGTTTGCAATCTAAAAATACAAATGCTAAATGTTTTTACCCAAAGCAAATAATGGTAGCAGGGAACTTTCAGTAATGGGAGTACCCCCTTGCTGATGACAACTCAAGAAAAATGGACAAAATATATTTTAAAATCTTTTTAAAAGCATCAAAGAACTAACAAGATGGTGATAAATCACCAAGACAAACACAGGAAGAAGATGGAAGCTGACAACAGAGTTTGCTCAGTATTGAGGGTCACTTTAGCACTGGACACATTTGCTAATCAGGAAGAAATGATTGAGCAGATGAGCTGTGCTTCTGGCTGTCTCAGACGCTCAGGGAGACAAAAGTTGGAGTCTAGGGTCTGTCAAGAGTGAGAACTCTAATAAAACACTCCACACTTTGGGCTGAGACCCTTAAGAGCTGCACCCTAGGAATAAAGATGAACCAGAAGTAAGTCAGGCCTTACAGACATGATTTGTGTCATCTGGCTAGCCTTTAGATGAGAAAACCTCAAACCCTGAACTTGGACTGAGGTGGTCCTGGGTTGCTAGCACTCCCAAGTACCTAGCAGAAGTAAATGAAAGCTCTTTTGAGAAAGAGAGAGAGAGAAAGCACCATCCTAGCTTCAGATTATTTCTAAAAATATTTTTTAATATTTGTTTTGATTCCAAGCACACAAAATAATCAAGGGTATGAAGAGACAACTAGCAGAAATAGGCAACAGATATAGTGGTACTGTAGTTAATCTCACAAGAAAATTCTTCACATAATAGTGTAAAAACGTGGCAGAAAAGAGCTAGAGTCTATAGGCTATGAGTGGTGGAGATGAAGGAAACCATGAACAGTGGAAGAGTAAAAGGAATGCAGGGCAGAGTCATTGATGACCACAGTGTTGGAGATGTTGAATCTATTTCCCCAACTCCACTAGAGGTTATTGGTTGAGGAAATTCTCCCTTAGTTCTTTCCTTCTTTGCTTTTCAAAGTAACTTCACATTTCAATTGTTCAATCATGTATACTGCTTCCTCATGGTACAGCTAAAACACAGTAGTTAACAACAAAATCTTATATAATGGAAATGGTGTGATTGCTATGCCCTGCTTTGTACTGATGTTTGGGTACCACACTGCACTGTTTGGTAATGTTTATGTAATGCAGTGATGTATTATCAGAGTGTTTATCTTAAATTGTAAACTAAAATATTCCAAATAGTAGCATACATAACCTAATAAAGAATCTAAATCAGGAACCCTTGATCTGAGGTCTTCTATAATATATGTTTGTCATGGATTGAATAGCGTCCTTCAAAAATATGTGTCAACTTGGGTAGGCCATGATTCCCACTGTTGTATAACTGTCCACCATTTTGTCATCTGATATAATTTTCCTATGTCTATGATGTTAATGAGATGGGATTAGCGGCACTTATGTTAATGAGGCAGGACTCAATCTATAAGATTAGATCATGTTTTAAGTCAATCTCTTTTGAGATATAAAAGAGAGAAGACAGCAGAGAGATGGGGGACCTCACATCACCAAAAAAGAAGCACCGGGAACATAGCATGTCCTTTGGACCTGGGTCCCTGAGCTGAGAAGCTCCTCCACCAGGGGAAGATTGATGACAAGGACCTTCTCCCAGAATCGACAGAGAGAAAAAGCCTTCCCCTGAAGCCAACACCGTGAATGCGGACTTCTAGCCTACTAGACTGTGACAGAATAAATTTGCTTGTTAAAGCTATCTACTTGTGGTATTTCTGTTATAGCAGCACTAGATAACTAAAACAATGCTTCTGGACTTCTGCAAATCACTGGAAATTGTGTGTTTAGTAGGGAGTGGGTAGGGGAAATTTTCATCCTCCCATTTTCCAGTCCTTTCCCTGCCACCTCCTAAACAAAGTAAGAACTCCCACTAAGCCACAGAAGAGGTCCCAAATTCAAATAACTTCAGGGTCCAAGCAGTTTTGACACGTACCTGGCATGGGTAGGGATAATAATAATAGGAAATGATAACGTTGAATTGAAGAACGTATGTCCAGCCTGAAGGCATTCACATTTTAATTTTTAAAAATGTGCTTTGCCTATTAGTTTTTCTATGGCTTCTCTAGAATAATTTGTCTACTGTTTTAAAGTTAAATATAAATTAGAGGTTAAGATGGCAGTTATAAATATTTTCTATAGTTCTAAATAAGAATCATCTCTCAATATGGGGGGCCCAGAGGGCAGACTCCAGGGAAGAATGGTCCCTGAAAGTAGATGGGAAAACTAGATCTATGTTAGGCTATCAGTGACACAGGTCATTGTCAACCCCCAATTGAGGAAGAAAATGCCTCAAGCAAGATATGAGTTGGGGTAGCTGCATAAATATCTGAGGAACCTTTAATCATAGGACCCCATCTCATGAAGTAGAAGTTTGTGTCTCTCCCAGTTATTCTTCCTTTCCCTCTTCCCTTCTAAACTACTGCCTTCTTTAAATTAACTCACCTAGGGCTTACTTAAAGAATCAACTTTCAGGGAGTCTCTCCTGTTGTGTAGCGGGGAGATGCCTAGCTTTAACACACAGAAGAGGAGCTAGCAATAATGCAACCTGGTTAGAATGCTCTACTCTGATTCTTACTAATTTTGGTTTGTTCAGATTAGTTTTCAGATAAACTATTACATGGGACAAAGCAAATCTAAATGTTTTATTAATTTTTTTGAAAACCCAGACAATATGCAAAATTTTGTATGTAAGTCCATAAATTTTAACAGTTTCTTAGAGGGGTGGTTGTTGTAAAGTTAGCCCTTGACTCATGGCAACTTATACACAACAGAACAAAACACTGCCCTGTCCTGAGCCATCTCCATGATCAGCTGGAGATCACACTGTTGTGATCCATAGGGTTTTAGTGGCTGATTTTCAAAGTATATCACCACACCCTTCTTCCTAATGTGTCTTAGTCTGGAAACTCCACTGAAGCCTGTTCAGCACCATAGCAATACAAAAGCCTGTACTGACAGACAGGTAGTGGCTGCACATGAGGTGTACTGGTCGGGAATTGAACCTAGGTCTCCAACATGGAAGAAGAGAATTCTACCATCGACCCACCAATGTCCTGTTCTTGGAGGGATACGTGACTATAAAAATTAAGAACTACTGGGCGAAACCTAAGCAAAAACTAAGTAAATCAAGTTTAAAAAACTAAATAAACTGAGGTTAAGTAGCTTGTACAAATTTATACAAGGTTATAATCTAGGTCAAAGTTAGTTTCTAATCATTAAATCAGTGGTTCTCAAACTTTAT